GGAGGACGCTGCGAATGGGTAAGGGAGACGAAGACAGAACTGGGACAACATCAGACCAGAACACGTCGAGGATATCCGACGTCTGGCGGATTTCGAGAATGCATCGGGCGCCGCGGTCGCTCCAGAGTGCTCGAGGACGCTCTGAGAGCGTCCCAGAACGCTCTGGAGCGACTTGCCCCTGCCGGAGGCCCGCCCGAGATAGCAAGGAGAACAAAGGAATATAGACTTACACCTCTTACTGGAACCCCTAAAACGGCATACTGCACACGTAGAGCAATCATACGGTCACATGGCGGCGGCAAGTGGGAAGGAGAGGCCCGAGGAGAAGCTGCGGGGTCGACGACAACATTGCGCGCCGGAAAACGAAGCCGTGTGAAGGCCGGCAGTGCTTCTGGCGACGGCTTCGCTGACAGCGCCGTGCCCCACGAGTCGGAGCGCAGAGGCAGGCAGGGAGCGCTGGAGCAGCGCGCGGGGCGCTGGAGAAGTACGTGCCAGGGGAGGAGGAGGAGGAGGAGGAGGAGGAGGAGGAGGAGGAGGAGGAGGGGGAGGAGGAGGAGAGGGGGAGGAGGAGGAGGAGGAGGAGGAGGAGGAGGAGGAGGAGGAGGAGGAGGAGGAGGAGGAGGAGGAGGAGGAGGAGGAGGAGGAGGGGCGGGCGGTGACCCGCGCTCGCAAATGGACCAGACATACCTTCTTGAAGGCCGACAGCGACGGCCCCTCTCCCTCCGTGCCCCTCCTCCGCCGCCGCCGCCGCCTCCTCCTCCTCCTGCTCCTCCTCCTCCTCCTCCTCGTCCTCCTCCGCCTCCTCTCCTCCTCCTCGTCCTCCTCCGCCACCTCTCCTTCTTCAACTCCTTTTCCTCCTGCTTTTCCTTCTCCTCCTACCTCCTCGTCCTCCTCGTCCGCCTCCTCTTCTTCTTCTTCTTCCTCCTCCTCCTTCATCGTGGATGGGCTGGGGGGGGAAGGATGGGCAGGCAAGGGGGGGCTCCCGAGTAGGCGTGACGTGCCGAGGGAAGGTAGAGAGGCTCGCACTGACCCCCCGATCGGCGTCGAGCTGTCCATCCTTCTGGAGGGGAAGGGTGGACGATGGCGGCCAAGGTGGGTCTGACGGACTTCGAGGAGGAGGAGATGGAGGCGAACAGGTGGCAGATGAGGGAATATATCAGGAGAGGAGGGGAGGGGGCGGGGTTCCCATCATGGCGCTGCTTGGACCCACCCCTCATGCCACTCAGGCAATCCAATGGCTAATAAGGCTATCGCCCTCGATCCAGCTGCAGTTATCCTTGTCGTTATCGATTTCCAAATGCGGGTTGAAGTACCTCCCCGCGCTTCGTTCCTACCCCGGCATGAAGCAGGAAGAATGGAAGAGCGATGGGGTGTGATGAACGCCCTCAAGGTCCAGGCGTGAATTCTCCCACTGTGCCACGCTCCGTGTTAGTGGGCCATGCGCATCGGATCCTGGCCAGAACTGCCCTCTGAACCTTGGGCCTTGGCATCACATGCCCCTCCGTGCCAAGCGATATTCTGATTCGCCACCGGGTCCCCACCTGAAATGCCGCTGTGAGCAGCATTTCGTGGTATCTTGTCACCGGCGAACGCCCTAGGGTTAGGTCGGGCATGTCCCCTACAGGCGGACTTTGGATAAAAATAGCCAACACATACTCCCAAATAGTCAAAAACAATCAAACATCGTCCCCAGACCATTTTAGACTATTTTTGCATACTCCTCCTGTGGAGGGACGTGCCCGACTTAACCCTAGGGGTCCCAAGACCCGAGCTGCGCTAGGACGAGCACGGAACCGCCAGAATGCCAACCAGGCCCATTCCTAAGAAAAGCAAGCATGACCCCTAAGTGCAAGCACTGTATGGGGAAAAATGCTGGGCCTTGTTTGTTGTCCCTTATCTTTTTGTCACTGTCCCTTTTTCCCCAATCAGTGCTTGCACTGAAGGGGTCCTAGCGGAAATGTCCACAGTCAGTGCTTGCACTGAAAGGGTCCTAGCAGAAGCTGAAAGATTTGACGAACATTTCCCGCCGATTTTGGTAGCTGGCTGGGTTCCCCGGTTCCCGGGTTCCTGCTCATTGGTTCTGGGCCGATTTCGGTGGGTTCGAGGTTCCTGGGTTCCCGGGTTCTCAGTCGATCTCCTTACCGATCTCTTTATTGATTCCTTTTCAAACCGTCCACTGATTGAGGTTTATCTCTGGTGTAATGTTGTCCCTTATCCTTAGCGTCTTTGACGGGGGGGGGCAAGGGGCGGCTGTGGGCGGAGGGTACCATTAACGAGCGGCCGCGGGCATGTCAGGCGGCACCCGTGCAAATCATGAGGCGCGCAAAGGCACGGTGACCCGCGCATGCGTGCAGCACCAGCGCACTGGGGGCGCGCGCGCACCACAGCGCTGCTCTCCTATCCGCACGCCTTCATACGCGCACATTCACACACACGCTCGATGCCTCAAGCACGGGTGCGTTGCGAGTAAGAGCTGTTGAGTCCCCGACCACGGACCACCCTGCCAGCAGCTTGTCCACACTTGGTTGCCCTATGACCCACTGGCCAGGCGCCTCCAGCGCGCGAGTGCCGCAGGAGACCTGCTGTCCAACAGTAAGTTGTGCGCATATCGGTCGCCTTCGTGGGACACCCGCCCCCCTCCTCTTGGTCGAGACCGAGATGGCGGCATGGTCACTAGGATTAGGCCGGGCATGTCCCCTTACAGGCGGATGTGGGGTGAAACTTTAAAAACACTCCAAACATTTTCAAACATATTCCATACATATATATATATATATATATGAAAAGTCGTCCACCGACTCTTGCTGCGCAATTCTTGAATCTTCCTCCTGTAGAAGGGACACGCCCGACTTCGCACCAGGACGGCGTCGGGCACAGTTCTCCGGCACAGCACGGCCACGCGCTCTCGCGAGCCAGATCTCGCCCCGAAGCCGTCCCCCACGAGGCACCTCTCACGACACCCGCGCCATTCTCGGCGGTCCTCCGCGCCGGCCCTGAGCGTGCTCTCTCCAGCGAGCCGGGTGCGGTCAGCAGAGGTGGCCCCCGAGACGACGTCTTCTAACCAGCCTCGAACGTATGCCCGTATCCCAAGGTGGACGAGCAAAAACAGCGAGGGCAATATTAGGGATAGGCCCTCGGAAACTGAGGGAACCCTTAAGATCGGCATCGAGGTGAGGTGATGTCAAACATAGGGATAGGGATATGTTCCATGCTGGTAATCTTCGGAGCACCCATCCTGACGAGCGGCCTGCGTGGCGACTGCAGGGGCAGCGCCCAGCGAACCATCAACGCCCCAACGCATCGTCGCCGCGGCCAAACGGTCTGGGTCGCGATGTCGGGTCGCGCCCGCGGCCTGAGTTTTGCAGCGCCTGGCTCGCCGGACTGAGTCTGGGGGTGGCTCTGACTAGACTGCTCCAACTGATGCGACGAATGGAAGTCCTGCCGATCCGTACTCAGCAAACACGACGTCCTGACTGGCCGAGCTTCGCAACAGGGCGGAGCCTCCCCCCCCCCTGACTGGGCCCAGTCGAGCGACTTGAACTCCTCGCAGGGAATGCCTGGGCAAAAAGCTGTGTAAAGAGAGTCGGACGCAGCCTCTCTTCATGCCTCCTCCTCCTGAGAATCCTCCAGCGCTTCCTCCTACTCCCTCTTACACCCCCTTCTTCTCCTTCTCCTCCTCCTCCTCCTCCTCATCCTCCTCATCCTCTTCCTCGTCATCCTGCTCCTCCACACCCATAGCCATTTTGGCTCATGGTGCTTCGCGCGCGCGCCCTCCTCGGCAATTTGCGGGCGGATGGCCGCTGAGCGGCAAATGGCCGCGGCCAGCTGCAGGGCTGCCTGTGCGGCAGCGGAGCAGCATAGCGCTGGGGAAGCTCGAGCGCCTCTCTCTGGCCGGCGCGCCAAGCGGCCGCTGGGCGCTTGGCTACCGCCCAGTGCCGCGTCGTGGCGCCGGAGAGCCAGGTGCGGGCGCTCGAGGTGCAGCTGCACTCCGAGCGCGCGCGGCACGCTGCGGCTGCGGCGCAGGCGGTGGCCCTTGCCGCACGGCAGGGCGACATATCGCGGCGCCCGACGAGGCCCCGCACGGCGAGAAGAGGTGGTCGCCCGCACGGCCCGGGCGGCGAGCCGGTGCTGGCGGGGGAGCCCGTGCAGCAAGCGCCCGACCAGCGGGTGCAGCGCGCCAGGCGAAACGCGGAGCCGCATTGCGCTGCGCGCCGCGGTGCGAGCATCGCTCGCATGCGCCAACCTGCCCTCAAGCGTCTCCCACGGTGCGGGCGGCGGAGGCGGTCCGGGCAAGTGCCGGGGCGACGGCCTGCGCGGCCACGGCGAGGCGCAGCACCAGCAGGACCAGGCGAGGCCGCCGTGCGGCTGCGTTGCCGCCGCGCCGTACGCAGCCAGCAGCCCGTTCAGTGGCCGAGGCCTCGACGCTCGATTGGGCGGGTGTGGGGCCTCGTGGGCGTCGAGTGGCCCTCAGCGCGCCTGCGGCTGGCGCTCGATTCCGCCCCGCGGAGCGGCTGCGCCGTGCAGGGGGTGGCCGCAGTCGCCGCCCCTTCTGGCGTCGGGGCCCCGCTGGTGGCGCCAGGAGTGCTTGAAGGTGACGGGCGCCTGCGGTCTTGGCTTGGCCGTGCCGGCGCTGGCGCTGGCAGCAGGGAGAGATCTCGTCCGGCGTGTCGCCCGACGGCCAGCCCGACGACGAGCTCCCCGTCGCGCCCTTCACCGCACCGCCAAAGCGTGGTGTCGGACGAGCTGCAGTTCCACGTCGGCAGCGGGCGGCGACCCGAAGGAGGCAGAGCAGGACGGCGTCACGAAGGTGGGGCCCGAGGCAGAGCTCGACGCGGAGCAGGCGTGCGATTTTTCGGGGCGCTCGGCCGTCCTTGGGGAGCTCCGGAGGCAAGAGCCAGGGCAGACCCTAGAAAGGGAGATCGCAGCGGGCCCGAGCGGGGGGTCGCAGGCCAGAGCGGCACCTGCCACGCTGCTGCGGACATGCCCGAGGTCCGCGTGCAGGCGATGCACGACGTTGAGAAGGTCGCCGAGGCCGTCGGCAAGGTGCGGCTTAGGGTGCTGCAGCGGCAGACGGCGGCGAGCTGCGACGGCCCCCGAGCGGGGCTCGCCTGGCTTCGGGGCGTCCGCGAGGCCCGTCTTACCGTGAGTGAGGCTTGGACCACTGGCGAGGTCGACGATCAGGGCGGCTGGGTCTCGAAAAGTGCCTTGGATCGCTGCCGTGAGGCCACGGGTCGCGGCTGACCTGAGTGATGTTTGACGTGTTCTGCTTCCGAGCGCCCGAGGGACCCCTGCTGAATGCGTGGGCCTTGCCGCGACGCGCACCTCGAGGTCACGCGCGTCCGTGGGGGTCGCGCCGTAATGAGCCTGGGTGCGCGTCGGGCCCTGCGGAGCTCGGCGGCCCATCCCCCCCGTCCCTGGCCAGCGGCAGAGATGCGACGAGGGATGGTCTGCGCTTTTGGAGGGTTCCCTCGGCATTTCCCCGAGGCAGCCTCAGGTCAGAAAACCGGGCTCGTGAGCTGGCCGCCAGGCCACTCGAGGTGACCCCGACATGCCGTCGGAAGGAGATGGCCACAAGTTTTGCCTTGGCGCGTCCCTGTCGCTGGCCCCTGGCTGGGTTGTGGATCCCAGCAGGGGTGACACAACGGTCCCCTCCGATGGGACTCGCCCAGGCCCTTTTCGAGGCTTGACTCTCTGACCTCTCTCTCTCTCTCTCTCTTTCTCTCCTTTTTCTGGCGATGCGGCCAAACTACTTTCTCCTCCATTCCAGTCATCTTCCCCAAACGACATGCTCCTCCCTCCTTGATCTCCTCCTCCTCCTCCTCCTCCTCCTCCTCCTCATGCATCTCCTCCGCCTCCGAAGTTACCTACTCCTCCTCCTGCCTTCTTCTCATCCTCCTTCAACGTCCTTCCTCAACCCTTTCCGTCCGTTGTTCCTCAATCTCCTCACCCTCCCCATCCTCCCCCCCCCCGTACGTCCACTTCTCCTCCTCCACAGATCTGATCCTCCGTCCGTCTCCATCTCCACCTCCTCCTCCTCATCCTCATCCTCATCCTCATCCTCATCCTCTTCATCATCATCATCATCAGCATCATCATCATCATCATCAGCATCAGCATCATCATCATCATCATCATCATCATCATCATCAGCATCAGCATCATCATCATCATCCTCATCCTCATCCTCATCCTCATCCTCATCCTCAGCATCATCCTTTTCATTATCCTCCCCCTCCTCCTCCTTCTCCTCCTCCCCTTCCTCCTCCTCCTCCTCCTCCTCCTTCGCCCGTCGCATCGACCTCCTCCAAATCCTCCTCCTCATCCTCCTCCTCTTCCGCCTCGTCCTTGTGTGGGCCTTCCTTATTCGCCTGGCGTTCGTTAGCACGTGTGTCAGGCACCCCGCTCTGGGGGAACGTGTGCGCAATTACTGAGGATCCTTCCTTCAGCGAGCACGGGGGTAGGTCTTACCCTGACAGTCGCTCGGCGGCGGTTGCTGTGGCCAGGAGGGTAGCCCCTGGCCCCAACGCCCAGGCCCTCCTCCTCTTCCGTGTGCTTCGTGTGTGCGCGCGTTCGTCTCGCGTACTGGCTCCCCGCCTTCGTGGTATGCGCGACGCTCGAGGCGTCTAATTTCTCGGGGGTGCGGGGGCTCCTCGCCCCGTCGGTCTCCCGTCTTTTCAGGTGTTGCTGCGGACTGGAGCTCAGGCTCCTAGCCCCGACACCGTTGCAGCCCAGCATCCTGGCTGATGGTCGCCCGTCCTCTTGTGCAGTCGAGGACTGGCGGCCCGCGCTGCCTTTCCACTTGCAGGTCCCTGCTCGTGGCCTTGTCTCCCCGCCTAACTCTGGCGGGGTAAATATTCTGCAGGCAATCTCCGCCCCAGTCCCTGCCGGAAAACACGTTGGGATTGAAACGGAAAAAAAAACAAAAAAAAAATCGTCCGCCTCTTCCTCATCCCCCCAAGTCCATCTCCTCATTCGACGCATTCCTATCCTCTTCCCTGCTCGCCATCCTCTTCTACCGTATCCTCCTCCACCTCCTCCTCCTCATCCTTATCCTTCGCCCGTCTCATCGACCTCCTCCAAATCCTCCTCCTCCTCCTCCTCTTTCTCCTCCTCCTCCTCCTCCATCCTTTCTCCTACGCCTCGGTCGCCTCCTCGTCCCCCCTCCTTCCTCCTACACTTCTTCCTCCATTCCCGCCTTGTCCTCGCCACCCCGACCCTATCCTGCTGCCCAGCCTCTGATATCTCGCCAATATGCTCTTCAATCTCTTCTTCGAGCAGGGGATTGGTTACGGAGTTGATTTGCCAAATCATTGAATGTATCGTCGGAAGTGCGAAACCAGACGTATAATGCGTGTAGATCTACAAGCCTTCGGCATATTGTTTGTAGGCCCGGCGGACAAAACAAATTTGGGGTACAGCAGTTTGGTAGACGATCGCCTGCTCGACTACTTCTGCTCGTGCTCCCCCTCCCTCTCGTCCTCGTCCTCCTCCCGCCGCGCACCGCCGGATGGCGGATAACCCTGCTATCACAGGCAGTGCTCCGCCCGCGCCCACAAGCGCGTATCACTAGCATCAGCAGCATCATCATCATCATCATCAGCAGCAGCATCATCATCAGCATCATCATCATGATCACTATCACCATCAGCATCTTCAACATCAGCATCAGCATCAGCATCATCACCCTCATCATCATCATCATCATCATCATCATCATCATCATCATCACCATCACCACCAGCAACATTATCATCAGCAGCAGCATCATCGTCAGCCTTAGCAGCATCATCAACAGCAACATCAGCAGCAGCAGCAGCATCACCATCCTCATCACCGCCATCACCATCATCATCATCAGCAGCATCATAATCAGCATCATCACAACCACCTCCTGCATCGTGATCATTAGCATCATCATCAGTCCCATCATCATCATAATCATCATCATCATCATTAGCATCACTCCCCTGCACTTCCCTCCTCCTCCTCATCATCACTTTCATCAGCATCACCATCGTCATCATCGTCATCGTGATCGGCACCATCATCAACACCAGCATCGGCAACAGCATCATCACCATCATCATCAGCAGCATCATCATCCATAGCCTCCTCCTTGGCCTTCATATCCTGCTCAGCTCACTCTTCCCCCTCCTCCTCCTCCCCCCCTTCCCCCTCCTCCTCCTCCTCCTCCTCCTCCTCCTCCTCCTCCTCTTCCTCCCCTTCCCCCTCCTCCCCCTCCTCATCTTCCTCCCCATCTTCCCCTTCGCTCATCCATCCTTCTCCCCTTACCTTGAGCGTTTGGTCTGTGTATTGGTCTGCGGTGAGCCTGCCCATGTTATGAAGATGTCTCGGGCGAAAAGCTCACTTTTAACGCGCATGATCATAAATCAGCCTTTTCAACATCTAATGCTGTTCGAGGATGTCTCAGGCGATACCCCCATTTCCACACGTTTGTTAAATTAGCGGTTTTCATTTTCTGGTGGATGTCTCAAGCGAAACTGATGTGTTTGTGAAAAGCGATGTTGCGAACAACTAAGTTTTGTGAGGATGTCTCAAGCGAGCTGCGCATGTTGAGGAATCTCGGGGGCGCCCTTGGGGTCATATTAGGGCTCGTTTGGGGCTCATTTAGGGCCGCTTCGACGACTTAAAAAAATGATGCTGGTGCGATGTCACACACATCTCTTTTTTGAGGACGTCCCTAGCGGAATCGTCATGTTTACAAGCCTGGCTTGGGCCGTCTGGAAGCCTTTTCAAGAGCGATCCCAGGAAGATGTTAGAACAGCAATTTTCAAAAACGATGCTCTTGTATTTTTCATGTTTTAAAAAAAGTTCCTAGCGAAATCGTCATCTCGGGCAGTCATCAGGGGGCTCTTGGAGCCATATTGAAGTCCTTGTGGGGTTCTCATTTCTTCATCTAGAAGCACTTCAAGAACGATGTCAAGACAATGCTGAGAACATCTCATTGGTGTGAGGATGTCCCCAGCTAAATGCACATGTTCTGCCGTGCTCTTTTTTGAGGGGTCTGTCATGCTGCCGGTCATTGTCTGAGGATGCCCCTAGCGCAAACACAGTTTGCAACATCAGATGTAATAGTACACCTTCCTCGACAGTTCATTGTGGCTGGGATATCTCAGGCGGAACGCCAATTTCTACAGATCAATCAATGAAATTCGCGGCGATCATCTGTTCGAGAATGTCTCTAGCGAAACGCTTGTTTTTGTTTAGCGAGATGTCGCGAATATTTCATTTTAGTGAAAATGTCGCATACCAAATCGCCACTCGGGGGGATCCGCTAACCCTCTCTCCCGTGCGGCCCGCAACCCTCCATTAGTAAAAGGTTATTAGATATGATGCATATTCAGCCACAACATCCAGCACGCTTCTTGTACCTCGAAGACGCTTCCCGCCATCCGCTAACCCGCAATCCCGTGCAACCCGCCACCCCCTAGTCGTAATAGATAACTAGATATGCTGCAGATTCAGCCAAAGTCCAGCTCGCTTCTCGTACCTCGAAGACGCTTCCCGTCATCCGCCAAGCAAAAACCTTTGGCGGCAGCGAGCCAGATGTCCCTCGCGAGTTTGTTCTTCAGTTATCAGTTGTTCAGCATCGCCTAACAAACTCCCATCGCCTTCTCGGTCCGAGAAGGCGCTTCCCGTCATCTGCCAGTCGCGTGCTCGATACGCCCCTGTGGAGCTTACACGCGTGCAAATACGTGCCAAGTGCACACGTGCCAGAAACATGGTTGACACCGCCCCGCCCACAGACGTATCGGGGCGTGCGATATGATGTCCGCCGCATTTTCGACGACATCCCCCTGTGCGCCTACCCGCTTGAAGACACATACAACAAACACGTATGCCAAATGCATGTTCGATACCGACCTGCCGCCCGCGCACGTACTTTCAAGTGTGGAGAATCCGCCGTGCGCATGCTCGAAAGTTCTTTTGAGCGCCGGCACGCGTGATGCCACTTGCCAAAAGCACACGCCCTCTCTTTTGCACGTGTCATAAAAATCAGCTGGGCGCATATTCGCCACCGCCCCTTGGCTCCAGCACGCTTGAACACACGTGCCACATGCACTCGTGCCAGTCGCACATTCGACGACACCCCTGCGGCGAACGTAGCTCCACGTGAGAAGACTCCGCCAGCTGCATATTTGACCAACCCACATGAAAGCACGTGCCACATTCACTCCCGCCAGACGCATCTTCGACACTTTTCCGCGCACGTACTGGCACGTGCGAAGGTTCCGCAGGCCGCCTATGCAACACCCTCCCTTGACGCGTAAGCAAATGAAACCATACCCTAAATCCACACAAGCCAAATGCATGCTCGACACCAGCTCCTCCGCGGACTGTCTGTAAGTATGGAAAGTTCGCTTGCCGCATATTCGACCACAAAGTTGCAGCAGACCCACACGAAATCACATGACAAACGCAAGCGCACCTGACTCATGGTCCACATCACCCCTTCCGCTTACGTATTTGCACGCGTGAGGAATCCGCTGGCCACGTGTTCAATACCTCCTTGAGAGCCAATGCGCGTGAAAACACGCGCCAAATTTACACGTGTCCCTCGCATTTGAAGCACCTCATTTCACGCGTGCGGAATTCTCCGCGAGAACGACCCGCCAGCCTCATCCTCTGCGCCCCCATCGGCGCCCACACGTGGAAATCGCGTGACACATGGACTCGTTCAAGATGCATGTTCGACACGCTCTGATCGCGCACGTACCTGCACGTGTGAAGGACCCGCTTGCCGCCTCTCCGATGCCTCTCGGGGTGCCCTGGAGCCTGCACACGGGCAGGCCCGTGCCAACTGCACGCCGACGCGCACGCTGGACAGCTCCCCTTCGCGCCGCCCACCCCCAGGAGGAGGAGGAGGAGGAGGAGGAGGGGGAGGAGGAGGAGACGCATGCATACCTTGACGTGTGGCTAAAACCGGACGCGCTCTGCTCCGCACCTCCCTGGCCAGAGAGCACCCTGGGCTGGAGCCCCAAGGGCGACCGGAACCCTGGAAATCCGTCTCGGGCCCCGGAGCAGCCAAAGCAGCAATCCGTGACGAGGAATGAATCAGAGGCCGACGATGACGACGACGACGACGACGACCACGACGACGACGACGATGACGACGGCGACGGCGACGGCGGGCCGAGAGGCCAGGGGAGCCCCGTCGTGAAACAACGCGGCGTCGGGCCCGCCTCCTTCTCGTAATTTCCGCCCCTCCCAGACCCCCGACGCCCTGCAGAAGTGCAGGACGCCCAGCTGCTCTGGGTCCGGGCCTCCAGAGGCCTTCTGGGGCCCTCGGGCTTCCAGAAAGCGACCCACGGCGAGAAAAAAACGACTACAAGGCTGAGGGAAGGGAAGGAGCGTAGTGATCAGAGAGTCGGTTGTCTGGGTTCACGCTGGCGCTGGTCCTCCTTCCTGCTGTTCCCCTCATTTGGTACAATGGACAGCATCGACAAGGGCAAACGAGGAGCGCACAACGCGTAAGAGACACAGATCAATAGTGAGAGAGAGAGAGAGAGAGACTGAGTGAAACAGAAAAGAAGGGCTGCTGCTACATGACCACGGCCATTCTGGAGGCTGCCATCCAAGAAGGCCCCAGGAGAGCCCGCGCAACTACAAGTGGCCAACAGAGCATGCGGCTCCTCCGCCTCGATCACCTCCTTCCTCGTTCCCCTCCTCGTCATCATCTTCATGGTCCCAAAGCTGGAGGACAAGACCTGCTCAAGCAAGCACTGCAGAGGGCAACGCGACATCTCATGCACAAGCGGTGGGTGAAACGCAAGAGTGGTGAAACGTCAACGTGATATCGACCCACGAAGCACTAAATGTTACTGAACAACCGCCGGATGCCTTTTCCAAACTCCGAGAGACTTACCGCGCAGGAGTGGCATAGCTCGAAACGAAGGCCGTTCTCCTCTTTCGGGCATCGCGTGCAGACGTAAAGCAAGTTCTTGTCTCCTTCTTCCTTCACGAGCTTGCCACAGTAATCGCAGAACGCCCTCTGGAGCTGCGGGAAGCCGACGTAGCCGACGCTCGCGCCACCGAACCTGATCATCGCGTGGTGCTCGCACCGCAGCCAGTGTGGATGCAGGCTCCTGGCGGCGTGCTTCCCCTCCGCCTGCAGCACCTCCGTGGCGTGGCACATCAGGCAGACCTCGAAGCGGTGGCCGTGCTTCTTGCACTTCCTAGGGGGCAAACAAACCTACCTCGCTTTTGACCACCCTCGCTTCCAAGAGATACCAAGCGATGCCAAACTACGGCCTGTACTGGTCTGGCCGCTTGACGAGGAGGCGCGTGGTATGACTTGGTGTTGCCTGGAAGCGAAAGCGGGGTAGGTAATTCACGCTCTGACTTCCTGCAGAAGTAGAAGAACTGCACCGCCTCCGGCGGCGACGCCGCCGAGGCGAGGGCCACCCCGCACACGTCGCAGGTGGCCAAGTCGGCCCCGTCCGAGAGCACCACGCGCTTCAGCGGCCCCCCGACGTCCCCCGTCTCCCACTGCTTGCCCGGCGGGTCCCGGTACTTGAACGCGCGGAAGCCGACCTCGTCAGGGCTGGACCTGAAACGTTGCTTGTCGTCTCGTTTTCGGTCTGTGTTTCGTGTTGCCCAACCTGTTTTTTTCCTGTAGCTCCCTGCCAGAACGAAAAACAGAAACCCAGCCAAAGTCCAGCAAAACAGAGTTTGGGTCGAGCCCTGGACCTCGTAGGCGTCGCGCATGCGCCGCGCGAGCGCCAGGTCGGTGAGCCTGCACGTGTGCTGCGTGGCGTGGCGCTGCGCCCACCTGCTCGGGGGCCCCGGGCCGTACTGCCTCTCGGGCGCGCGCCGGATGACCTCCTCGTAGCAGGGGTCCGGCTCGTGGCTCCGCAGCGGGGCGCCAGTGGCAAGGCTCCCCGACAGAGCGAGGGCCGGCGAGTCGTACCCCGAGCCCGGAGGCGTGGCGGCGCCGGCGCGCGAGCGCCACCCGGCGCCCGAGGACTGCACCTGCCACGGCGACAGGGTCTGTGCAGCACTCTGCGGGGCGAAGTGCGTCCTCGTCAGGGCTGGGATGCACACGGCAGGTTCGTGCCGTGTCGTGGCGACCCCAGCGGTGGTTCCTGACACGGCGTGGGTCTTTGAAAAAAGCTTGAACGGCCGGCGGCTTTCCGATCGCCAGATCGTTCCGTGTTGGCGTGTTGGCCGATTCTGGGTTCACCCTTGAGTGCCCGCGGCGCGGTCGATGCCGCGTCGGCACGACACGAGCCTACCGTACAAAGCAGCCGCCTTGCGGACCTCTGTCCAAGGACCCAGGTGCAGTTGATAGCGACGCCTTTGGCCCACCCTGGGCCCGGAACTGCACTCATAATTACTCCACAGCCCACGTGCGGTAGATTTGCATCACTGCGAAATCGCACGTCGCAAACAGATTCCATCACCCTGGATGGAAATCACGACTGGAGCCCAAGACCCGATCTTTCTGCTGCATGTCTCAAACCGGATCGATCCGTGAGGGTCCTGGGGCCCAAAGCAGGGCCAGTCTGCCCAGAGCATCGGACAACGACCGCGCCTGGATCTCAGGAGACGGCCAGCCGCGAGTCCTTGTTCCCGCGTCGATGCTCCCGCTATGGAGGAGAAGCGACGTCTCGCTCGTGGAGCGCACCAGCTGTGGCAGCGAGGTCGCCGTGGAGAGCGCCGGTTCGAGGCGAGTGTTGAAGCGCGTGAGCGGCGCGCGCTCGGGGTTCAGGCTGAAGAGGTCATGCCTCCGCGGATCCGAGACATCCGCACGGAGCTCTGCAGTGTTTATGCAATGGCCGGAGAAGCAACCCAAACATTCCTGCAAAAGGAGTAACATCTTAAAAACGGCAAGGTGCGAATCGAAGGCGGAATTGCCTAAAGGAATCCTGGGGTGTGCATTATCCCACTGCGCGGACATGAGGAGGACGACGACGACGAAGACGACGACGACACCATTGACAGGTTCTTCAGAAGTTCCCAACTGGCTCCTGCAAGGGCCCCGAGAAGTTCCCGAGAGGGCCTTGCGAAACTCATGCGAGGGTTCTGAAAGAGTCCTGCTAGACCAAAGAGAAACTATGCAGAGGGCAGAAACCTGCATTTAAACAAAATCATCATTTAGTCTCGAAAGGCTCTTGAGAAGCCTTTCCATGCAGAGCCCTTAAACAAAACACCTAACCTTCCACTAAGCTTTCTCCAGGGCTCCTGATGAGAGGCTCCTGAGACAAAAAAACCTTGCTAGCCTCCTGCGAGATCGCCAAAGGAGCTCCCGAGACCCCCTGAGAGGCTTCTGAAAAGATCCTGCGCGACTCCCGAGCAGCTGCTGCAAAGCCCCTGGGAGGCTCCCGAGATCTTCCTGGAAGCCCCCCGGGAGGCCCCCTAAAAAAGGCTCCCAAGGGCGCTCCATGCGGCCCAATCCCACACCCGAGTCCCACCAGCTCTCGAGGGCGTGAGTGGTGCAGGGCGTTTCTTCTCCCATCTTCCCCCTTCCCCTTCGGGCGGGGGGGCGTACCCCCGCGGGCCTGGACGGGGGGCCCGCGAGGTGTCCGAAAGAACGTCATTCTTGGCATCGGCGAGGCGGCAAAGCCCACGGGTGGCTCCGAGGTCTCGGGGCACGCGCTGGCCTCCCCGGGGGAGGACCCCAGCGACAGAGCCCCCCACCCCCCCTTCTCTTGCCGTTGCTCGGACGTCCGTTCCCTGTGCATGTTTCGGTTTCGTGCGTGTTTTCGTTTTTGCTGGCTCGATGGTCCAGGATGGTCCTCGATGGTCCTCGCCGAGGAAAGAGTGCACAGTCCGAGCGATGCCGAGCCCTCCGACCGATCTCCTCCAGGATGGCTCCAATGCTGGCCCTCTTTGGGCTCCAGCTCGTGCCCCAAGAGAGCCCCCCAAGAGGTGCCCAGGAGGCCCCCAGAGGCCCTCAGGGTGCCCCAGCAGGCCCTCAGGAGGCTCCAGCGAGACCCCCACGGGAGGCCCACCAGCGGCACCCAAGACGCCCCGAGAGGCCTCGGCGAGAAGGCCAAACTCACTGTTGTCACTAAGGTTCTGGCCACATTGTGGCCACCTGGGGCGGACTCTAATTGAGGAGCCCCCCTCCTTTGATCGATCTCCTCCAAGATGGCCCCAAGATGGTCCTCGAGGCTCCCATAGGTGCCCGAAGAGGGCCCCCCAAGAGGTGCCCAGGAGGCCCCAAGAGGCTCCCCAAAAGGCCCCCAAGCTGCCCTCAAGAGGCTCCCAAGAGACTCCCAAGAGGCTCCAAGGGGACCCCAGAGGAACCCAAGACGCCCAAAGAGGACTTGGCGAGATGGCAAGAATCACTAATGTTACCAAGGTTTTTGCAACATGTGTGCCTCCAGGGGGGTGACCCTAATTGAGGAGACCCCCCTTTTGATCGATCTCTTCCAAGCTGGCCGAATATGGCCCCCGAGGCTCCAAAGGGTGCCCCAAGACGACCCCAAGAGGGCCCCAAGAGGTGCCGCGGAGGCCTCAAGAGGCCCCCAAGATGCCCCCAAGAGGCCCCCCAGAGGAATGCCGGGAGACCTCCAAGATGCCCCACGAGGATTCCAAGAAGCTCTCGAAATATATACAAAGAGACTACGAGAGACATCCAAGAGGTCTCTGGCCTTTCTGCTCGCCCTCCTCCTCCTCCTCCTCCTCCTCCTCCTCCTCCATCTCCTCCTCTTCCTTATCCGCCTGTTCCTCCTCCTTCCTCCTCCCTCCCCACCCATCACCATCTCCCTATACTCCTGCTGTACCTCCCCCAATTCCTTCTCCATCCTCTCCCTGTTGGTAGCAACTCAAAACCAATTCACTCACCGCTGATGCGCGGCCGATTCGGTGAACTTTTGCTGGCACCCTGGGGGGGGGGGCGGGGCTGTCCAGCTTGCGAAGGGTGGTTCCTGGCCTTGGGACCCGCGGCCCGCAAGTTCCAGGGCCCCCGCAAGTTCCTTGGTCCACGGGCGCGCGCCTTCCTCGCGCGCAGTGCCAAGGGCCCGCGAGACCTGGTACCCGGAAACAAAGACCGACTCCTCGGCGCGGGACTCCTCTGACCCCACTCGGCGGGCTCCGGAAACCCTGAGCCCAGAGCCTGCCCATCTCTTGGAAGCGCGTTCTCTGCTGCCGCCGCCTTCCGCCGAGCCTCCGCCGGCGGAGCCGCCCTCGTTTTAATTCCACACGCACAAGCCACTGCCCCTGCTCGTCCACAGCTCTGGAAGCCTGGTGCTGGGCCAGCGACGCTGCCGCCGCCCGCCTGCCGCAGGGCCTCCGACCCTCGATCAGGCGAGGCCGCTTCCGGAGCGCCCTGCGCTGGGGTGCCCGCGGCTCGTGGGCCCCGTGGTCGAGGGCCGAGGCCCACTGCGCCGCGCAGTCGAGGGCCCTGGAGCCCCGGGCCCAAGGCTCCCGGGTCGTTGGACAAGGGTCCATGGCTCCTGGGCCCGTTCGGGGAGCAGGCAACGGCGCAAGCTTAGGTTACCTGCTACATTCGGTGGGCAACATTTTTGCTACCACGTGCCAGTCGTTTATGCGAAGCTCGAGACACAACAGAAGCCCTGGCGACAGAGGCGAAAGAGGGGGAGAACAGGGCGGGAGGGAACCGAAGAAGGCTATGGAGTCCAAGGGTCCCCCCAGTTCAAACGGTTCGTTTCTGCAATGACGCATCATGTCATTTCGCTCACAACCTTCCCGCGCACGCGCTGACATTCGGTGGGGAACATTTTTGCTACCACGTGCCACTCGTCTAGGCGAAGATCGAGACACAACAGAAGCCCAATATCCCAAAGGGTTCACTGGGAGGGTGTGGCGGGCTAGAAGAGGAATGCCGCCTCAAGGTCCCTGTGGCGGCTCAGCTAACGGTTCACCATGCAGTCAACTAAGATTGTCGGGTAGGGCGGGGCAAGGGAAGCCCACGTGGCCCCGGATGGGGCCTGGCCCTCGAGCGCAATGCGTGGTTCACCCGAGGCCGAACAAATCACACCAAAACTGCGGCAACGCCTATCCAGATTTAAAAAGTCCTGGGGATCGACGCCGAAAAATAAGTTTTGCGCGTTTCCTCCAACGGACCCCGAACTGACACGGATCACACATCCTATTGTGCATGTCGTGCTGTTTAGCCAAGCTTTGCAACTGCTCTGTGTGCAGAATTCTACTGTTCATGGGATCCTCTGGCACAAAGAGGTGCCAGCTCGCACGAGGCATCTCATCAAGGTCAGAGCGGCCCGGAAGGTGGCCCTCCCAGCGGCGATCCTTTTCTTAGTTTACTCTGTGGCATCTGGGATACCCCACGGAAGCAAAGCTGAGCGACCTGGCCGGCGGCCTCTGTCCGCCGCCGTGCCCCAGGGCGCACAAGGAGGACCGAGTGAAGCGACGATAACTTGCCCGCGGGCAATGGCTTTCCGAATTCGAGCAATCACGACTGGACGCGTTAAATCTTCTTCGGGGCCGTTCTGACTATCCGAGCCGTGGTAAGTGAAACCCCGCCCGAGAGCGGCTTCCCCAATCGAATCTGAACCCGAGAACATATCAAATACGTATCTGCGCTGGCGGCCCGGCCGCGTCACTGGGTAATCACCCCTGCGCCTTTTCCGAGCGGTATGTCCTCGAGTCGACTTTCGGAATCTCTCAGAGTGTCGCGCAGGGAGGCCGGCAGCAAGCTCCACGACTGTCCGAGCCGAGCTGGCTTCTCGCACCTCTGCATTGACTTGGCATGTTTCCACTGCCCCAGTTGCTGTATCTCCTCGAGCGTACTGCAGTGCCTGGCCACATCTATACTCGGACCTGAGTGCCGAGCCAGACAAGGAACAGCGTGCTGCTCGACACCCAAGTCCTGCGGCGCCATCCGAAACATCTTCAGGAACTGAGGGTGACTGAAGTCCCACACCTTTCCTTCTGGAGCCCCTTCCGCGAGCTCGCGGAAGATGGGCGTGGCGCACTGAAACCAGCCGCTGTCCAGCATCACTCCGACGTCTGCCAGACACGTCTTGCTGCGCAGCGGCTTGCTGTCCGGGAAGAGGAGCAGCGACCGCCAGCGGCGCGCTCCTGGCGCAGGCGCGACGATGTTGCCGCGCGCCAAGGAGAGCAGGTGGCCGGGCTGGAAGTAGCCCGAGACCACGGCGAGCAGGAACATGGCCATCTGCAGCGCCCCACGCGCCACCATGCGCCAAGCCAGCCCGCGCCAGAGAGCCAGCGGCCAGGCCCGGCGGCTCCGCCCAGGCGCCAGCTTGCGCCAGCCCCGGAGGCAAAGCCAAGCTCGCGGCGTCTTGGACTCGCCCTGCTTCGAGTACTCTGGGAACCTGTACATCGGGCCCGCCATCACCTGGTCGCCTTTCGACGACTCGTGGCCGCTGAAGAACAACACGCACATGTAGTCCACGAGGGCCTCGTCCACCTGCGCGGGCGAGCGCACCACCTGCGCGGGCGAGCGCAACGGGCGGTGCGGCTCCGCGTCGCAGAACTCCAGGAAGGCGTCCAGCTCCAGACCGCGCAGCCTTCGCGCGGGTGCAAACGCGGACCGTCGCATCAGAAAGGTCTGGCCGTCCGCCGCTGCACTGTCCTGCAGCGCCTCCGCTCCGTAGGTCCTCTTCCTCTTTGCAGCGCGCCTCAGCAGCTCCTTCTCGCGCCTCTCGCCGGCTTGGACGACCCGCTGCTCGTCGGAGGTGCTGCTGTCGCCGTCGCTGTCGGCCACGATCTGGCGCTGCCAGCGCCCCGCTCTGGAAGTCGAGGCGTCGGCGGCAGCGCAGCCAAGCGCAGGCGTGCCTCCCAATCCCGCGACCGCTGGGCCGCCGACAGCGTCTTCTGGCGGCGCCGTGCCGGGGTCAGCCCTGCGCTCGTCGAAGCTGGCCGCGGCAGCTGCGGGGGCCTCGCCCCGGCCGGCGCCTGCGCAGGTCGCCCCTGTTGGCGCCTCCGCTTGGCCGCGGAGTCGCAGGCGGTGGACGCAGTCCTCGACGTCCGCGAGCCCCAAGTGGAGGTTGTAGCCCTGCAGGAGCTGCTGCGCCTCTGGGCCCCAGGGGCCCGTGCCCTCGGGCACGGCGAACTCCGCTCGGCTGAGGCCCTCCGCGCTGAGGAGTACCACGCCAGGCGGGGCCTCGAAGAGCTCGTTAGCTGGCCGCGCGTCCAGGATGAGGCGCAGCCGCTTCCCGTCGTTCTTCTCCATGAAGAAGTGGCCCACCTGGCAAGCGCTCGGGGTGCTCCTTCAGGAAGCGCTGGACCTCGGGGGGGGCCACGTCCTCAAACGGCGGGCATCCCTCCGCTGTCTCGGCCAACGAGACAAAGTCCTTTCTGGCGGGCGCGACGCGGGTGAGGCAGCCCGTCCCATCGCACGGTGCGTGCCCTCGCAGCAGCCGGCGGACGGCCGCGCTTTCACCGAAAGCATCTGGACCTGGGTACCGCCGCGAGGCCAACTCGCAGATCCGCTACACAACTTTGAGCTGCATCGGATCGGGGTCGACATGCGCGGGTCCGTTCCAAAAGCCAGCGAGCCAGTTCAGTGCGTCCACCACCTCGCTGCCCATCCTCAGCGCCAGCCGGCAGGTCCTCCGCCAGCAGCGCCTCCACTCGGCGCAGGCCCTCGTCGAAAGCGAACAAGGCCACCAGCGCAGTCCCTGGTACGAAGCGCGCGTCGGACCGATCCACCGTGGTGCCGACAGCGGCGCTCGCGGTCGGCTCGGCCACCACCCAGATGCGGTCGTCCGCCAACGGCGCAGGGGGCTGCTTGCCACGCAGCCGATGCGCTTCTGGGCGCGGCTCGCGGCCGAAGAAGTCGGCCCATGCCAGGAGCTCGTCGTCGGCGGTCGCCATCTCCAGCGGCTCCGCAGGCGCGATCCCAGGGAGACGTGCCTCGACCATCGTGCGGCCGCGCTCGATGGCCGCCCGCAGCTCGGCGCGCGTCATCGGCGCCCTAAAGCGGTAGATCGGGCGCGGCCAACCTAGCGGGGCGCTGCCATCCGCAGGCATCACCGCAAACCCCTCGGGGCCCGAGGCTGGATCCGCGCCCGTGAAGTCCTCCTCGTACTCGTCCTCGTCTGGCGTGCGAGTCGCCCACGTGCCAGGGGGCAGGCTCGGGAAGAGGAGGACCCGCTCGTGGTCGACGGGGTCGTCACTGTAGCGGACGACAAGCCGCTGCACGGGCACCAGGCGCCTCCACCACTCCAGCCCCGCGTCGCGCGGGAGCAACGCCATCCTTCACGGACGCGTGCGTCCCCGCAGCTCTACGAGCTCCACCGCACCACCGCCGAGCGCAGCGGCCCACCACCAGCAGCAGCGCCACCAACAAACAAGGGGCAGCCGCCACGAGGACGCCCACGGGGTCCTCCTCCGCCGCCGCCGGCGCGGGGTCCACCAACGGGCAGACCGCAGGCGCCGCTGGGCAGGAGGGCGCCTCCGGGCACGGCGGGCAGCCCTCGCCCAGGTCCTCGGGCGGCAGCCACGCGGGCGGGCACACCGCCTCCAGCACGCAGGGCGGGATCCCCGATGGCGCGACAGGAAAATGGAAGGGCCGCGAAGCCAGGTGGAGCAGCCCCAGGGCGAGGACCGCCCAGGGTCCAAAAGGCACCTGGAACCGAAGAAGGCTATGGAGTCCAAGGGTCCCCCCAGTTTAAACGGCTCTTTTCTGCAATGACGCATGATGTCATTTCGCTCACAACCTTCCCGCGCACGCACTGACATGATGCTCCAGCCTGCTCTAGCCTCTGCCTCCAGAAAGAGTTTCGGGCACCAGGCAACTACCGAAACTGGAGGATGTTCACGTGTCGGGCCCTGGGCCCTGGGAGGCGGTACTCCTTCGACACTCTTTCGGCACTTCTCTGGGTGCTCGAAATTCCTTCTGGGACCTGGTCCTTAAGCACGATAGGGGCAACACAAGCGTAAACCTACGCTTTTGAAGAGCCGCGCGGATTTCTGGGATCGGCGCTTGACTGGCTGGATCGGCGCAGATGCCCTGGACCGCGCGGGGCGCGCCAGGGGCTGCGCCGGAGGCGCCGCCAAGGAGTTCGCGCGCCGATCCCAGAAATCCGCGCGGACCTCCGAAAACTTTGGGTCCATGCTTCTGTTCGTTTCCTGGGCATTGGATCAACTGACCCCTCCGACCTAAAATCCTGTTTACTTGAGAGGCCCAGGTGGCGCAGAGCCAAAGAGCCCAACTGATAGAGGCCTCCTAGATGGGGTCGGAGTAGATGGGGTCGGAGGATCTCGCCGCATCGCCGATACATCGACGATGCATCGGCGATGCATCGGCGATGCGCCGGCGATGCATCGACGACGTCAGCGATGCATCGGCGACGTCGGCGTGGGGAAACACGGGCTCCACATCGAGCCGTATCGCCGATGCATCGGCGATGCGGCGCGATCCTTCGACCCCATCTACTCCGACCCCATCTAGGAGGCCTAGAACTGAGGCCAGGCCCGACCACGCGCTGCAGCATCCCACCGGGGACCCCGCGGCAGTCGTCGTGCTTCCAGCAGGAACGCATAAGAAGGGGAACGAACGGGCCGTTCTGGCCACGGCGGGCCTGGGCCACAGCCAGGTTCCACCACAGGAATAGGAGGAGCGGCTCGAAAGCCCCAGCTCCTCCTCCTCCTCCTCCTCCTCCTCCTCCTCCTCCTCCTCCTCCCTTCTGCCAAAACGATCCTTACTTCAGCGTCTCGGCTGCACACACCCGAAGTAGAAGAAGAAGAAACATCGCCTTAAACATAAACCTTGGGCGCTCCGCGCGGATTTCTTGAGTCTGCGCTGGGCCCTCCATAGCGCGCGGAGCGCGCCAGGGGCGGCGCCGGAGGCGCCGCCAGGAGGGCCTAGCGCGGATGCAGGACATCCGCGCGGAGCGCCAAGAGTTTGCGATCGTGGCGTGTTTCTTCTTCGACTACAGCACGCGTCACCACGACATGGCAATTCATCCGAGATTCACCTGAAGCTTGCGACCCGCTTCAGATTCGATGCAGCGGGCATGCCTGCCACCCGGCGCATAGAGCATCTGCGACATCCCGGCCTTCCTGAGCGCGGAGTCGCCGTGCGGCGGGGCGCTCTTCAGCGGCGTGGCCACGCTGCGCTGCTTCTGGGCCTCGAGGTTCTCCTCGAGCCTCGCCCAGTCTGGGGCCTCGAAGAACAGGACGAGCGGCCGAACGGACAGCCGCTCCTCGACCCGCTCTCGCGGCTCCCCGGGCGGGATCAGCGACAGCAGCGTGAAGCAGCCAGCGGGGTAGAACCACACCTGGGTGACGAAAATAAGCGGCATTTTGAGCGAGAAGACATCGGACCTTACGCCGCGGCTTACGCCGGCCACCGGCGTGGCAAACCGCGTAGAGAAGAATGAAATTCTGCGGGATGTTCTACAGATTTTCTTCTGGCGGGCAAACCGGCGGGGCAATCCGGCGGGGCAATCTACAGATTTACTTCCGTCGCTCACCTGCTGCCCGCTGTCCCGGGTGACCTCTGTGAGCCCGATGATCCTTCCCCTCTCGCGCACCTCCGAGGGGCAACGCCAGGAGGCGACCGGCGAAAGGAGGGAAACATCGACCTGGAATCGGCGGCACATCGCCGATGCCTCGGCGAGAGGACCCCGATACCGGAACCGCATTTTCCGGGGCGCAGAGAGCTATCGGACCCATATCGACGAGTAGTGTGCGATTGGGTGTCGATGTATCCCCCCTGGGCCTTTCCCCCACTCAAGGTGCCCCTGAACCTCCAAGACCTTCTGCTCGGTTCCCATGATGCCCTCCATGGCTTCATGCCAGGTGCAGCCCGAGGCTTCGAAGAGCTGGAGCATCTTGGATAAGTCGGTCGTCACCATGACGCTGTCGCCAGGCCGGATCTCCCTGTCCATCGCGCTTCCCACGAGGACAAGGCCAGACTGCAGGTCGTAGCGGAACGATGCAGGATACTCGGGCAAGATGTCAACGATGACTGGGAGGGCCATGGACCAGTCCAGCCTGATGCCTAGAGGCGACTCGCCCACGGCGAACTCGACCTCGATGAATTTCTGCGCGCCTGCATCCTCTTCCTCCCCCGCCGCCGCTGCCTTTCCAGGCTGGCGCCTCTGCTTCCCCCGAATGCGGCCGCGCGACTTGGCCGAACCCTTGGCCGCGGCCTTCAGCTTGGCATTCAGCCTCGCCTGCTCCTCCTAAGGAGGGACAGCAACAGAAACGTCATACATTGGGTGGCAGCGCATGGAGGCCTCCCATACCATCATTTCGGCTCTGGCAAACCAATGCTGATCGACGATCGTCGACGCCAATCGACGCTAAATCGACGCTGGATCGACGCTAACCGCCGCTAAATCGGCGCCACCTCATCGACTCCCATTGGAGGTCTGGAAGTGGGCACCAACACCAAGACAGGCGGGGTGCCTCCACAGGGGAACGATGATCCTAGATTTCGGTGTTGGTGATAATATGTCGGTCACCTCGAAAACCAGAGTATCACCACCATCACCGAGATCGGGATCTTTTTTCCCTCGGTGGAGGCACACCGACGATCTTGGTGTTGGTGTCAACCTCTAGGCCTTCGATCCCAGACGCTAATCGACGCTAGTCGACGCTAATCGACGGAATTCAGAGGGTACACCAGGCCCCAATGATTTGCGACCGAACGAGAGGAGCCTCCGGAGAACGAGGGCGAGGGCGAGGGAGGGGGGGAGGGCGAGGAGGACGAGGAGGAGAAGGATGAGGAGGAGGAGGAGGAGGAGGAGGAGGAGGAGGAGGAGGAGGAGGAGGAGGAGGGGGAGGAGGGGAGGAGGAGGAGGAGGCGACCGAATATGAGCGTTCGGAAGCCCACGCGGATGCGCCGGGGGCGGCGCCAAGAGGTGCCGCGCCAGGGGGGCTCCTGCGCCGACCCAAGCAGTCCGCGCGGACCGCCGACGACGATCCCGTCCGTGTCTAACCAGCCTCGAACGTATCCCTATCCCTACAGTCGGGGCGTTGACCTAAGGAACCCTAAATAAGGAACGAGGCCCCTTTTCTCCATAAGTTAACCTTCGATTTCCTGTCGAAAACATAAGGAATGCCTGAGCCAAGCTGTGAAACACTTAAGGGACGCGGAGCCCCTCCCCAACGAGAAGGGTTCCTTCTTCAGGGCCCCGACTGTAAGATTGACACGCCAAAAGGCGATGATAATCGTAGGGACTCGCCCTCAAAGAAGAAGGGAACCCCTGAGATTTGCATCGTGATGAGGAGGTGCCCAGCATAGGGGTAGGGATATGTTCCAGGCTGGTAAATGCCGTCCGTGTCGCCCCGGTGCCCCCCGATCCTCGTCCAGGACCTTCGGCGCGGGCATCACGTTCGCCAGGGACACGGAGGGCGCCTTTGAAGGGCCCCCAGGACACACAACTAAATACACACAAATCAAAAGATTCCCAATATTTTTACATTTTTTCTGGGTTTCTGTCTTCCCCCACCAACTTCCCATATTTTCCCATATTTTCCTGGGAGTGGACGATTAATTGTGTCTGTGTGCTTCTTTCCCTCCTGAGCCTTGATGGTCGCGGCGGAGAAGTTGATGTTGAGGGGCGCCAGTTCGGAGCTGAAGGGCTCCGCCACGGCGGCGCCGTCCTCGCTCGAGCGCACGGCCGCCGCCGACTGCCCGGCAGGCGGCAGGGCGTCGGGAGCGGCAGCGGACTCCGCGAGTCCAGACTCGGTACCGGAAAACAGCGAGCCCTCCGCCGTGTTGGCCGACTGCCTCTCCGATGAGACACGACGGCGCTTCGGAGAGACCAGGCGCTCGGACGGGGGGGGTGCTGCGCTCGCAGGCCCCCTGGGGCAAACCGTTGTGCCGGTGATTTCTCGAGAGGGGTGGCAGAGCCGATGGTCCCCCCCCACAAGGGGGGGTACGGACCACGCCCATCCCAGAGGGCTGGTCTTCACATGGGAGGAAGAAGAGGGGGCGGAGGTGAAAGAGAAACACGGAGGAAGGAGGAGGAGGAGGAGACGGAGGAGAAAGGAAGGACGAGGAGGAGGACCCCGAGATTCCGAGTCGTGTCACACAACGAATCGTGACCGGAGCACTCGACCAAACCTCATGTGGCCCTCCTGGGGCCAAAACGATCCGCGAGGGGCCCAGAAGCCGCAGCCTGGGCGAAGAGAGCCCCCACCATGCCTTCCTTCGCTTTGCAAATGACGTAAAAACACGGCGCCCAAAGAAGCGCGTCGGAATCTGAGGGGGGAGCGCTCTCCGAAACGTGCCCTGCGACTGCATCGGAGGCCTGCTGCCGCGCCGCTGCGAATGTGGCCTCTCGGGAGGCGTCGCGGCACGGGCTGCCAGCACCTGCGCCAGTGGCCAATTGGCATCTGCAGACACATGGCATTCTCGCACCACCACCACCACTATGCCTGGCCAGGGGCATCCTGAGCCCTGGCATGGTGTATTTTGAAGTAACCCAGGGTCACACAAATGAATACACACAAATCCCACGATTCCCTACAATTTGTTTTATATTTTCTGGGTTTCCGTCTTCCCCCCCACTTTCCATATTTTCGCACATTTTCATTGGAGTCGGCGATCAACTGTGAATTGTGTTTTCTTCCTTCCTGTAACTATGCCTCCTGGTCGGGGCTAGGAAGGTCTGTGCACCATCCTCGGCCCAGCATGGCCCTGGCCAGGCAAGAATCCACATGCCGGGGCGAGCGAGAACAAATACACCCTTCGGTAGCAACTCAGGGGAGCCTCCCATCCCGTCCTGCCGGCTCTTGCGAATCGACGCTGGTCGACGCTAAATCGGCGCTGCTCGACGCTAAAGCCACGCTGAATCGACGCTAATTGACGCTACCTCGGCGCCGTCTCATCGACTCCCAGACGCTAATCGACGCCAATGGAAGCTAAAGACGGAACTTTGAGGGCATACCAGGCGCCGATGACTTGCTACCGAATACACCATGCCCGAGGCCGAAGGTTCATCGATTCCGGCTGGCCAACGACTCGCAATGTTTAGTGCTCGTATGTCTAAACCCGGCCAAGCCCCCCCCCAGCTTCGCAGCGCAACCCACCCGCTGCGCATTTCCGCGCCGACCTCCTCCCCCTCCGGCCCGATACCCTCCCCTCCGCAAGAGACCTTTGTGAGCTCCTCGTCATTTGCCTGTCCTTCCCACGCTCCCGCGTCCCAGAAGCCCTCACACGAATCCCCATGATACCTCGGCGTCCTTCTTCTTCTCCTGCAGGTCAGTACTATCACGATCAAGCACCATTTAACTTGAAGTTCTTCTCTCTCTCTCTCTCTCTCCCCCACGCACTGCACACGCCACAGCGCGCTGGAGCAGGAGGGGTGCGAGGGAGATGACTAGAAGAACTGGGGGAGACCTCCCCTCCCCGCCACAACTCGCCTTGTCGAGCCTTTGGCCAATGGACCTCTTGTAGAGGAGCGAACAACTGCGTACACGTGAACGCGCGGAACTCCGCGCGGATCTCTCGGATCGGCGCTGGGGCCACGACATCCGCGCGGAGCTCCTCAAGATGCTTCCCCACCCGGCACGCTGGGGTTGTCAGGTAGAAGAAGCAAGACCCCCGACCCGCCCGACCTGCATACCGCAGCCGCCAAATCGCAAGGTCCATCGAGTCTCTGGTGCCCCGCCCCGCCCTATTCACAGCTACTCCAGATACGACGACGACGACAACGACGACGACGACGTCAACGACAATGTCTACGGCACCTGCAAATACGACCACAACTACAGTGCCTGACACGACTACGACTTCGACGACTACCACCACCAAAATGTCTACGACCACTATTGCTATCTATATATCTACACGTAGAACAATCGGTACGATGCTACGGTCTACTTGTAAAAAGGACGAACCATGGTCGAATGTTAGACAGCGCGAACAAAAACTAATGTGTGTTCTAGCAATTTGCGTGGTGGAATCCATGTGGAGCGATCTATGTGGTGAAGCACGCGCTGCCGAACTTGAAACTGTCAACTCTACTGCTCGCGCAATCATCCCACCCATCTGCCGCAACCTGGCTTGCAAAACCATGCGGCGGCGATTGCCATGAGTGCGCGGCGCTGGCTGGCGCATCGCTGCGGCCGCGCTAGCGCGCGCAGGCTCGAACACAGAGCGGCGAGGTAGTGCGGCAAAACGCTGGGCAATGCCCAGGGCGTCTCGCACGCCGCGCTGACGCGCGGGCACTCCAGTACGAGTCGGTGAATCGGGCGGGCACGGTATCTTGGCGACGGTGACAACGGCAAACACAATGCAAATATTAGCGATGCTGGTGACGGCGATGAAAATAAAGACGGCAAGGGCAATGACGGCGCCGAAGGTGATCACGTCGATGGCGATGATGATGTCCACGCGTCGGCGATGAAGGTTTTAGAAGGATTTCGATATGCTCGTGTAGCGGAAGCGCGCGAGTGGCCCCCATGGCATGGTTTGACACGGATCGTGGTCCTGGCCAGGGCGCGAATGCAAGTGGTTGAGTTCGACGCGCGCGCGCAAGTTGCCCGCGCTTCCCCATGTGACAGGAATGCACGAAGCAACCATAGTTGTCGAAACGAATTCAGCAACTGCGCGAGAACAGATTGGTTTGGAACGGATACGACATGCCCAGGCAGCGGACGCGCGAATGTAGCCCGCTTAATATTATTTGACAAGGTTCGCGAAACACAGATGGTATGCTAGATCAACGAATGTGCTCCGAATGATATACGTTGACAAGGAAGACGGGTGGGTTGTCGATAACAGGGTTGGCTGGGATGGTACGGATGCAAATTTCGGACGGAAGAGTGCACAAAACCATATACGAAAAACTATGCTGAATGCGATGCGTTAGCCTGGGGGGGGCGGGGGGGGTAGGGCGTGCGGAGGTGGGGGAATCGAATACCGTTCAAGACAGTAACAAATATGTTGAGCAACCCGCGTGGTACAATGTATGCTGAGCAATTGATTTCCACAAACGAATTGGCAAGTCCCACACGTTCGCAAACATCCCACTCACCCACCCGCAACTTGGTTTGCAAAACCCATGGGGGGCGATTGCGATGAGAACTTGGCGATGGCTAATGCATCTCCGCGACAGCGCTCACCCGCGCATGCCCGCGCGCGCAGCGGCGCGATAGTTTGGGGAGACCGGCACGACCGCGGTGGCGCTGACCGCTGGGCCCTTCCATCGGGCACACCAGTGCGAGTCGGCGATTTGGGCGGGAGCGGTATCATGGCGACGCCGACAACGGTAGACGCGATTATTAAAGTAGCGATGGTCTTGGCAATGGTGGCGATGACGACGGAAAGGCCATTGACGGCGCCGATGTTGATGACGCCCGCCGATAGCGATGACGATGTACTCACGTCGGTGATGAATGTTTCTGAAAGAATTCAACATGCGCGCGCGGCCGACGCGTGCGAGTGGCCCGCGTGGTATTATTTGACACGCATGGTGCCCCCCCATCACGCGCGCAAGGGCGTTGGAATGAGTTTGACATGCGGCGCGAGCGGCCCGCTTGGCATAAACTGATGAGAATGTTGGAAAATCGACGGTGTCCTTCAGAACCCACAAGACCGTGAGCGCATGCTTTATTTGAACACGGATGTTGCAACACCGCGTGTAGCTTAAAAGTGTTCGGGACATTCGTTTTTGAATTCCTTGCGCGCGAGACGACACGCGTGTGCGCAATTCGTCGCATTTTTAAGATCGGGTCTTGCACCAACACGCGCGCAAGGGCGTTCGAGCGATTTCGACAGGCGCGCGCGAGAGGCCCGCTTGGTAGCATGTTATGAACATGTTGAAAAACGATGGCTTTCTCAAAACATAGCAAAAGCGCGGGCTCAAGCAGTTTTTCCCCAATCAATGCTGGCACTGAAGGGGTCCTCGCGGAAGTTGAAGGATTTGGCGACAATCTCCGGCCGATTTTGGTCGCACGCTGGGTTCCGGGTTCCTGGTTCTGGGTTCCCGAAACCCTGTTCCAAGTTCCGGGCAGTCTTCTGAGGGCGGCAAGGTTCCCGTGGTCGTGGGTCCTGGGTCGACCTTCGTATCGATCGGTCTCACCATCGATCTCATTACCCACTTCTCGATCGATCTCGCCATCGATCTCACAATCGATCTCAGTATCGATCTCACTAGAGATCGCATGAGCGATTTCGCGATCAATCTCACTATCGCTCTCCTTGAATCGATTCCACTCTCGGTCTCACGATCGACCCTTCAATCGTCCTCACTACCGATTCCAATATCGATCTCATAATTCATCTGAAGATCCATCTTATTATTGTTCAAATCATCCACTGCTTGGGTTCTCTCAGGTGAACGCCTTTGTTGCGGAACCATGTGGTTGTTGCGCGGTTTCGTGGTTCTCGATTTTGAAAGCCTTACGACACCGTACGTTTTTAAATGGTTTCGGCATGCGCGGGCGACGGCGCGCGCGCACGTTGTCCCATCTATTGCAAAAGCTTCTTGCGACAGCACGCGCGCAAGGGCGCTCGATCGATTTCGACACGCGCGCGCGAGGGGCCCGCTTGGTAGCATGTTATGAAGATGTTGAAATCCAATGGTTTTTCTACAAAAACGCAAGAACGCGGGCTCAAGCTGTTTTTGAACACCCTTGTTGCAGAACCGCGTGGTGGTTGCATGTTATCGTGATCCCCGGTGTTGAAATCCTTACGCAACCTTAGGTTTCTTTTCAACAAAATCGGAATGCGCGTGCGACAAAGGTGGGCGCGCGCGCACTTCGTCCCAACTGTTGCCATGACTTTTTGCGACAGCGCGCGCAACGGCGTTCGAACGATTCCGAAATGCGCGCGCAAGAGGCCAGATTTGTAGCATGCTATGAACATGGTTAACCCCGGCGATTATGAAAAAAACTCAAGATCGCGGGCTCTGTTCGGAACACCCTCGATGCGGAAACATGTGGTTGTTGCATGGTTTGGGGATTCTCTATCTTGAAATCCTTACGACGCCGTAGGTTTTAAAGAATTCCGCTACGCGCGGGCGACGACGCGCGCGCACTTCGTCCCATCTATTGCAAAGGCTTCGTGCGACAACACGCGCGCAAGGGCGTTCGAGCGATTTCGGCACTTGCGCGCGGGAGGCC